TTTTTTTTTTTGTGTAGTTTTTTTGGTGGGGGGGGGGGGGTGGTGGGTGATTACTTTTGAGAGATATTTTTTTCTCGTCAGCGTCTCGTGTGTTACAGTCAGTGTTAACCGTTTACCATGTAAGCTGGTTTTTCCGTCCACAAGTACAAAAATCAAACTTGTCTTTTTGCTTCCATGCTGGTTTTTCTGTCCCCTCGTTGCTCCCATGGGTTCTCCCTGATGTTCTTCAGCCCCTCGGCTCCTTTACCTGAGTCTGTAGCAACATCTGACTCAAACACAGGTCCCAAAGTCTAGTTTTGATGGAGGTTCTCCAGCCCCGGTTGGTGCTGGCGCTTTAACCTGAACCTGCTGCAATGTCTCGGTAAGGACACCTGGCTGCAAAGTCAACGAGTGATGGACGCCACAGATTTCAAGAAGCAGATATGTTTGCTGCTCCTGGGAGGAGAATTTTTTTTTTTTTTTTAATGTTCGGAGCCAAACTGGTCTCGCTACACACATTAAAACAAACTATTGTTTTTGTACGCAGGCCTCGTTTACCAGCTTCGCTAAAGGTTCCCATAAACGTGCGCTCCATTATTAGTTGGAAGTTGGCCTTGGCAGTGGACGTTCCACTCGGCCCGGTCTTGGAAATTGATTGCAATCTAACTAAGAGGCTTCTGGCAGCAGATCGTGCTCGCGCCAAGGTTGAGTTTGGCAGGCGTAAAAGCCGAGCTCCGAGCCCAGGTTGCACTAACGCTCAAGAAAGTCATTTAGGAACTTTAATGTCCTCCTCTGTTTTTCCTCCTTCCGCTCCACTCGTCCACTTCTTTTCATCCTTTAATCAATCATCCCGTCTGCGTCCTGATCCACCTTCACCCCGTCTCTCCTCCTCTCGTCACTCCTTCCCCTCTCCGTCTCCGATCGATGTCCGACCCTCTTCTGTCTCGTGGAGCAGCCTGTGTCGGCGCACGGTAGAGTAGATGTGTGCTGGTGGCTCTTTGGAGAGGAGTGCATGCGCTGTTGATACACAGTTCGTTTGTGCCCAACTTTATTGGAAATGTTAAAAGGTTGCTGGAATGCTTAGAGACTGCAGCGTTTGAATCCCATCGGAGGGTGGTGCAGCGGCTCCGTCACGTGACGGGGAGCTAAACTTTCCTCTGTAAGTGAAGTCTGCACGTCGCTGTGTCTCCTTCAGGCGCTTCTTCTGCGAGTCCAAAGACAGGTGCGTTAGGTAAACGGGTTAATCTAAAGTGATTGGAGGAGCATATCGTGCTGTTCTGTGTCTGCGTTGGTCCTGAGGCGGACTGGGGGGGGCTTTAAAAGGATGCTCCCCACCACCCAGGCTAGGACATCCCTGTCATGACCCTCTACATCTACAGAATGAAGCAGGGATATCAGATGATCAGCTTCATGATGTGCATGTTAAAGAACTCCCAACACGTCAGCGTTTAGCTTCTGTCTGAAGACCAGAGGACCAGCTTTGTCTCGGAGGTTGCTCATTAGCGTTGAACTCTATTTAGTCGAGCTCCGCTGTGAACGAAGGGATGGGTTCCTGCCTCATACTTAACAAAGTGTAATGTCTCTTTAAAACTAACGAACCTGTATTTGCCTGTAATTTATCATCCTGTCCTTTGTCTTAGTTTATGTGCTAGCATGTAGCTTGCATGAGAAACGGTTGGAAAAGTGTAGATAGCGTTGGAGAAGAGAAGTGGCCGACGAGCTTCTCTCCTGAGACAAGAGCGGCGGTCGGCCCGGCTGACCTCCCTGCTGTCCTCTGTTCTGCAAACATACGCTGTGTCCCAGTTAAATCCATCTGGACCCGTCCACGCTCCCAAGGTCCCTGCAGGAGACCAAAACTCTCATATTTCTCATCTCTCTGACATACGCACCGTTGAACTGGGACGTGCAGTATTTCGTGGCGTCGGTGCAGTGATAACCAGCTGTCACCAGATGCCAGCAAAAGCTTTCCTTCGCCCTCTTCAGTCAGTTTAAGCTGTTCTGCCCCTCAGAGTGAGTCCCACTCCGCTTTAAGCAGCCTCACACTAGCTGCTGCTCATTGTTCTTTTCTTTTTTTTTGTGTAGAATTAAGAATTTGATTCTTTAATTATGTTTTTTTTTTAAAGGTGTGCATATTCTTCAGTGTTTGACTTTCAGTTCAACTGATAATTTTCTTTTCTTTAAAATTAGATTTTCCCAGTTTTGAATGTTAGAAGTGTAGTTTTTTTGGCATATTTTCTCCTTTCAGCAGCCATTTAAAAATATTTTTTCATGTATATAGCGTTGCCTTTACTGTAAACTTCTACATGCAGACACACACACACATTGGATGCATACTCATCCACACACATATCTGGATATGCACAGCAGGCGTGACGTCTGTTCCTACGGTGTATTTGTACAAATGTGTGTGTGTGTTTGTGTATGAGTGTGTATTAAATGACCCAAGCAGACTCCAGAGACACTCTTAACGTGTGTTACATTTACAAACATGTCTTTATTTCCATGACAAACAAATTTATTTGTGTTTGGTTTCCTTTCTATGGATGACAAGTCTTCCTTTTGAGTGAATATCACACGGAGATAGTGCCGACATGTCTGTTTATTTGTACTAATGACTGATCAGGATCAATGTTCAGAAAATATTTTTCTCTTTTTTTTTTTTTTGTTAGAATACAAGTTCAGTTGTTGACTTCAATAAACATGCATTTGAGTTAATTTCACATTTGTGTTGCTTGTTTTTCCAAGTAATAAATTATGTAATTAAAATTATTTGTATTCATTCAGAGGCTGCTTTGAGTAGCGGTAGTTTGTTTCTGGACTGCAGGATCCACATACGTTACTATAATGATTTATATTCTAGACCTAAAGGTCAACTTTTCTGTAAAAATGCATATGTAAACCATGTTCTTGTATTTTTTTAAGAATGTGACAGACACTATTAAATAAAACAAACTAAATTAATTCATAAACATATCAAATGTTAGACTATTTTGTGCTTCTTTTACATTTATAATAATAAGAAAATAATAATAACAATAATATATTTATTTAGTTGCCTCAATTATTTGATTTGTTTAAAAAAATTATAATTTTTGTTGCTTTTTTTTAATCTTATTTATTTTTGTTTTATTCTTTTGTGCTTTCATTGCTTTATTTTATCTGATTTTTTTAGGTTTTTTTTATTATTATTATTTTTCCTAACTTTTGTTTATTGTTATGTTAAGCACAAACTCTAGTTGTGTTAATATGTGTGATAAAATAGTTTATAAATTAAGTAGGCATTTAAGCCATGCAGTTACAATATAATCCACTAGAGGGCAGTATACTAAAGGAATCAAAGCTTTTACTAGCTGTAACGGTGCTGCAATAATTTAATTATTTGGCAGGATTTTTTTTTGTGTAAATTCTTTAAAAAAAAAAAAAAATCTAAATAAATATTAAAAAACATTTTAATCCAAAAATCCATTTTATGAAACAACCCAAGGCAAGGTTTCTTTTAGACACAAGAAAGTAACTATTAAATGTTTTTATCTCTTTGAATACACTTGTTTTGTGGAGATGTTAATAAAGAAATAATATTGTTTCAGTGTGCAGAATTGTATTAAAAGAGAAGCTTAAAAATATTTTAAGTTGCTGAATAAGTATGCTGCATAGATAACAGATAATGCAGAAATAAAAGACTAAAATGTCATGAAAGATTCTGATTATCTGGAGAAATCTTTTTTAAATTTAAAGTCTCATCATGTATAAATATATTATTTGATTTGTATTGAAGATGGAACTCTAGAAAGAATCACTTATATATATATATAATTTTTCATTATTATCTTTTTTATTATTATTATTTGCAGGTACCTGCAGAAAAACGACTCCAATTGAACAGACATCCTATTCAGGAAATGCCAGCTTTGAAACTGTTACAAACTTGTTATTGTCTTGTCCCGTTTCATTTTTCAACACTGAAATTTGAACCATTGTCTGTAACAAATTATTGAGCCTCGTGTTTAAAGTGCAGCAATGCAGGTGAGAAGTAAAGTAACTCAAAGCAAACTGTGAAACAACACAGACCATGTTTTCCTGAAAGGTTCAATTTGAAAGAGTTTACTCCTGTAATCTTTTTTACATACAGTTTTATGCAACTCTGAAATGCAGGTATGCACTCAATGTAAACAAAACAGTCAACTATGAAAGCTTAAGTCACATTATTGACATTAGTTGGTCTAAATGTGAGCAGCACAGTGACTTAGTGGTTATTGTTATGCTCACATCAAGAAGGTCCCATTGCTTCTGCTTCTTCTGATTATTATTATTATTATTGTTATTATTATTATTATTATTCGAGCCGAGATGGAGTGGGCAGCCAACCTGGGACCAGAAAGTTACCATTTGACTCCTCGTCATCCCTACATATTGTTGTGTCTCTGAGGAAGACACAGTCCCTATTTGCTCTCCGGGCGTAGCTGCACACTGCTCCACCTGGCTGCATCTCAGGTGTGATGAGTTGAATGCAGACATCTAATTTTGCCAATGTATGGAAACATACAATGATAACACATAGCACATTCTTCTTTTTCGTTCAGCTTTTCCCTCTTCCGGGGGTCGCCACAGGGAGTCATCCTCCTCCATCTCACTCTGTCCTCTGCATCCTCTGTCCTCACTCCAACTTCCTCCATGTCCTCTCTAACTGCATATCTCCTCTTTGTCTTTTTCCTGGCAGCTGCATTTCTAACATCCTTCTACCAATAAACCCACGGTCCCTCCTCTGGACATGTCCAAACCATCTCAGTCTGGTCTCTAACTTTATCTCCCAGTTGTTCAACCTGTACTGTACCTCTGATGATCTCATTCCTGATCTTATCCATCCTTGTCACTCCTAAGGAGAACCTCAACATCTTCATTTCTGCTACTTCCAGTTCTTTCTCCTGTCTTTTTGTCCATGTCTCCATCTCCAGACCATACAACATAACTGCTCTCACCACTGTCCAGTAAACTTTTCCTTTGATCTTTGCTGGCACCCTTTTGTCAGATCTTCGTGAAGCCTCTCCAGTGTATGTTTGGTTTCAGGGCGCAGTTCTTGTCGCGGCCGCCGCAGCGCCCTCCTCTCCTCTGTGGATCAGAAATGGAGATTTGGAGAGGGGAGGTGGTGGTGGTACTCCATGAAGAGAGGGGATGTGTGCTGCTGATTGTCTGTGAGGTGGGGGGAGGGAGAGGGGAGGGGAGAAAGGAATTCAGAACTGGTTAAATGGGGATACAGAGCGCAGAGAGGAAAGGGAACAGAGAGTGGAGACAGATTCATTTTACGCACGGGGAAAGCGGGGAAGTTTGTTCATAAAAGAGACAGGAAAGAGAAAGAAACATGGGATTTTTCTTCCTCCAAGCGGGTCTTGTTTCACTCTCATGACTCAGAGAGGATTCCAGCTGAAATCACCCTGTCGGGAGGAATTCATGGTGTCTTTCAGGGGACACGGAGCCGAGGGGTGGAATCTGAATGCGCTCGGCTGAACCATGCCAGCTTTGTGGATCATAACTTTGGCAATCGCTTTGAACCAAGGTGAGTAACAAAAGAAGAACAGATCAGAGCACGAACAGCAGAAAGTTTGCTTCCAAACACAAATGTGTCGTTTTGCTCAGTTTGGTGCGACTGCGCGCTTTGTGGCTCTGCGCCGGCACCACTTGCCTGTTTATTATGGCTGGCACTGACTCCACGCGCGTGGTTCTGCATGTGGACACAATGCTGTCTTATCATAACTACATCCCGCGGACACTAAAGAGGAACGAGTCATTGGGGCGCTCAGGGTCTCAGACGTGAACAGTCCGGACGCGCAGCGTCACTTATTCCTTCCTGGGAGAGAAGTGGAACATCTGCACATGACATTGCTTTGACGTGACCTTTAAAAGCATGAACTGTTGTGTAGATCTGGAACAAATGCGTGGGTCAAGACGGGCGCGCGCGCACGCAAACACACACTTTTGCGCATAACCTGTCAGTCCGGGGTGATTGATGAGGCGAGGATCTAATGCACAGTCTGGTGGCTGAGCTGTAACAGGAGTCACATTGAATCATTTTTCAAAGCGCACACACAGAGGGCACGCACGCGCCACGCACGTGCATGCCTTTAGTCACAGTGTGCGCGCGCGCTAAGGGTAGAGAGTAAAGACCAGAGCAAGGGTCCCTGGACAGCAAATCTGTTTGTGTGTGTGTGTGTGTGTGTGTGTGTGCGTGTGATGGAGATAGAGACTGAGCAGTGCAACCTCTGCTTAGATAGCAGGTAGAGTTGCGCGTGCGTGTGCGCGCCCCTGCTGGAATGGTTCAGGTGCCAAGAAAAATTCATATTTTACTGTAAAGATGGAGACGCATTCACTGAACTGGAGAAGAGCCCCATTACTAATATTAATGTTCTTATTTATTGATCACCTTGAAGGATCATCCTCTGCCTTTACTCCCCCCCCCCCCCCCCCCCCCCCCCCC